CACTTCTCTGCCAGTCTAAAAAGCTTCTAACTTTGCCAGTTCCCTGTACACAAATATGGCTGAGCTGATCGGTGTGAGGGTGATTGTGCTTAAGAGGGAGTAGGAATGAATAAAGCCACCACACATGGGCTCTTGTTTCATCTGCGCTTGCCAGCTGAAAGAGGGATGTTCCAGTCCTGCCTAGTTCCTTTTTGAGGGGCTGTGTTCTCAAACTGACCACTTTTACTTAGAGTGCCAAAGCTGAAGTCTTAGAAACTGCATAAAAACGTAAGATGGAACAAACCTCTATTTCCTGGGTGCTCTTTGCAGACAGTAGAAGGATAATACCCATGCAAAGGCAGAATACTCCTGTGGCAAAAAAGATAAAGGGGACTTGGCTGAGAAGTGTAGCCGGTGGGCGGGCAATTCCTGCTGCTTCAGGGCAGTGTTGTCTGGCAATCTGGACAGGTGACGCTCCATTTTGGTTCTGCAGGTGACTCAGATATACTTTGGGGGACATTTAGAACATTCCTGCTCATAGTAATACCACATGATGGTAATGTTAAATGAAGAATTACATGAATGCTCCTTTGAAGTTGAAAAGTCTTTCTGCTTCCCAGAAATTATTCCTTAACCAGACCTGATATTCAGGAGCTCAGCTCTCTTCAGTCATTGCTAAAAGTATATTTTATTTATGCTCAAAAAGCCTGTTGTGCTCAATGCCATGCCTAGGAGGAATAGTCTCCAGCAAGGTCTGCAAAAACCAACATCTGGTGACACTAGGAAGCAGTCATGATGGGCTATTTGTGGGATCTGGTGACTAATTCAAGGCAAGCCCTTCTTGAAGAGGGGAAAATGGATTTTTCTTTAGGAACTTGCCTAAAGCCTTGGAGATTAATACAAAAAATAAAAGTTAGGGCTGTCAGCTTTTTTTCAAATGTGGCTGTTGCCTAACATGAATATAAACTAAGTTGAGAAATGCTCTCAGCTTACAGCTAACTTTGCTATGTGTGATAATGAGGAAGGGAGAAGCAAACAGGGAATTGCAGAACACAGATGTCTAATCTCAGCAGCTTCCAATTTCTTTTCACCCATACGAAAGATTCTAGTAGAAAATGTAGATTAAAAACATCTCCTCCTAACCTCTCCCAAGTGCATGCTTTGGAGTAACACAAATGAGGCAAGAAAAAGGAAGAGGAAGATAATCAATTACATGTTCAACACTGCAATATGGTATTAGGTCTGGTTTTGAGTGTTTTCACTTGTTAGAAATCCACTAACATTATTTCCTTTATGCTGTTAATACTTAATAATTACTTATTTAAAAACTGACATTTAGGATGTGGAATTAGAATTTTTAAAATAAGGCAGCATGTAAGATTGATAATCATCCCTTTTTATTTATTAACATTAGGCAGAGAAGCTATGCTGGACTATTTTTGTATCAAAGGTGGCAGTGACTTTGGCAAATGTACCTAGTTTAGAAGAATACAAAACACATGCAAATACTTATACTATGAAGTTTTCAATTCAGAGTCAAAGCTTCCCACTTGCAAAATTGGAAAACAAGTAAAATATCAGTGGGAAATTTTCAGCATGCTGTTGGATTCTGACTTGGAGATGGTGATTGGTATGGCTGCTGCTATCAGACAGCCTTGAGAAGACGGCAGCAAACACGTCCCACCATCATCTACTGTTTGTTTTACTAAATAAACATGGTCAAGAGCTTGGGTTTAAAAGGCAGTAACAGGCTATGAGATTAGATTATATGTATAGGGTTGGCCTATAAAATATCAATTATGTTTCAGGTATTTGTTCCAACATTGGGTAGGATCATACTACGTAGATAATGTCTAGAAAAAGGGTCATTGTAGTAATGAACCAATAAGAACAGCGTTTCTTAGGCTTTTTATAAAACAACAAAACCAAACTAACTAAAATCCCAAGCTAAAAGGGCTTCACAGGTAGGGGTCTCCAGAGAAACAACCAATAGGAGATTATGTGATTATATATATGTATATATGTGTGTGTGTGTCTGTGTGTGTATGTGTATATATATGTGTACACACACACGCACAGGTATAAAAAAATTAAGGAATTGGCTCACAGGATTATGGAGACTAAATCTGCAGAGCTGATGTCCCAGTTCAAGTCTGAAGGCCAAGAGGCTGCCACAGAACCAGGAAGAGCTGACGTTTCAGTTAGAAGGCAGAATTCCCTAGGGCGGGGTTGTAGGGGGAGATTCATCCTTTTGTTCTATTCAGCCTTCAACTGACAGGGTAAGGCCCACCCACATTGTGGAGGGCACCAATTTAAATGCTAATCTCGTCCAAAAACACTCTCACAGAAACACCCAGAATAATGTTTGACCAACTATCTGGGTATCCTGTGCCAGTCAATTTGACACATTAAAATTAGCCATCACAGGTAGTAAGTAAAAATATTTCTAGGGCAATATTCTTGAGAGATAGCCAGATATACATGTCACAGGTACTTTTATTTATTTTGTATAATATAGGTACTTTTATATTCACCTCTTTCTCTTTTCTAAATAAATCTACTTTAAGTATATAAATATACTTCATCTGCTTTGCTTTTCAATATTTCTAGAACAGGGTTCCTCAACCTCAGCACTACTGACATTTTGGGCCAGATATTTCTTTGTTGCGAAGGCTCTCCTATAGGATTGTAGAATATTTAGCCTCATCCCTGGCCTCTATTGTCCGTTTGGGAACTACTGTTCTTGATTGGTATCAGTATGAGTTTGTTAACAGCTGTTGCATTGTGGTATCATTAGAAATTTCAGTGTGATTTTTTTTAAGTGCTTGCCTTCATTTTTCTTTAACCCCTGTGTAGATAGCCTTCTCAGGCATTATCAGACATTTTGTGTATTTGGGGTTGCCTTATATTTCATGGTCTTTTCCTATTAACTGTTGGGATGAAAATATACTAAATATGAGCATATAATCAGGAAGTGGTTATATTTGTGGGGGGTACAATCACACACACATACTTACATACACACATAATGTTCATGATGGTCTCATTTTTTGGTTTTGGCAAATCAATAGCAGCTTGGTGGACTGGTTTGAATTCTGACAGCACAGATTACAATGTCTTAATTTGCAAATCTGTCCTCTTATACAATCATGCTTGATGTCCCACATTAATCTAAGACATGTCACTTGACAGGAAGTTAATGCCTGCATCGGGAAAGTATGTGATCCATTTTCTTACCATTGGCCAAGAACATCTCACTTTTTAGGGTTTTCATCCCTTTAAGGATGAAAATAATAGGGTTTTTAGCTACAGCTTGAATAAATTTTCATTTTATAGGGCCCTTTTTTCTTTTTCCTTTAACTTGCTGGGTTCTAGTCCGGACCCTGGAGGATGGAATCCATTCCTTTCCTCTGTGAGTCCGTGTGTGTGACTTTCAGCCCATGTAGTGCATGAGCAGCAAGTCTCTGGTGTGCCAGAGTGTGTGATTTGCTGGATTTTGGTTTGCTAGCCTGCCAGGCTCATTTAAAATTTCACAAAATTTGAATGTGGAATTTATATATCAGTAATGGCATCTGTTTGCTGTATATGCCTGAGTCTCCAAATGGACAACTGAGAGTCCTGAAATGAATATGGGAGACCTGGGTTTGACTTCTGGTTTTGCTACTTAAACTAGAGTATGTCCCTTCTGAGATTCAGTTTCTTTGTCTATAGTTCCTTGAGGACTATTTCAATGATTAAACATGAGAGACTATATGTAAGTGAAAGCTGTAAACACAGTGCTTGGTAGAGAGTAGGTAGCTGATCATCATTTTTAAAATGAGTTTAAAAAGTGAATTTGAGCAACAAAATAAAAAACAATACTATTGCATTATAACTCATAGGATAAAATAAATACCAATGAGTCCATATTGATATAAAGTGGGGAAAAGGGACAGGTCTTTGTTACAGAGGACTTCCAATTAATAATTGTTGATGGAATGAGGGAAATAGAAAAATCACTACAGTAATAACTGTTGCAGGCAAGAACTACCAATGGTTGCTAAAATTAGTGGGCAAAAGTTTGAGGAAAAACGGATATTTGCATAGCTTCAAAGAATCTCCCCCAAGATAACGGAAATTAATTACAAAGGGAAACACAGTAACTCTATAATGGAGAAAATTGGCAGACACCACCTTACCCAAGGTGATGAAGGTTGACATCACCAGTAATAAGACACGTTAACATTATATACACCCTGATATGATGCATCCAGAAGGACATATGACTTCTGTGGTATTCTGGCCCCAAAATGTGTAACTTCAATCAAATGAGAAAACTATAGACAAATACAAATGGAGGATCATTCTGCAAAATACCTGATGAATATTCTTCAAAAGTATGAAGGTCATGAAAGACAAGGAAAGACTGAGGAATTGTCACCATTCTGAGGAAACCAGAGACATGACAACTAAGTGCAATGTGGGATCCTGGAATAGAAAAAGACATTGCTGGAAAAACTGGTGAGATCTGAATAATGTCTGTAGTTAATTGTATTGTATCAATGTCGATCTATTAGTGTTGATGACTGTATTGTGGTTATACAAGATGTTAACATTGGGGACGAAAGGGGAAAGGGATATGGGAATTCTCTATACTATTTTTGCAACTTTTCTGAAAGTCTGAAATTATTTCAAAATAAAAAGTTAACAAAAAGCAAGTAAGACAGCTGTAGTTATATTGCTGTCTTTTATATGTTTACAAAGTGCCACATAGACTTGCAGCTCTTTCCACCGCTATCACTGCCCCCTTCCCGTTGGGATCAGGCTTCACAGTTTACAGATCTGCTTCACGTATGTGTACCATCTCATGGAACCCTTGACAATTCTGTGAGATAGTCCCATTTCACAGCTGATGAGACTGAGGCTCAGAGAGGTAGGGGGCTTGCCTAAGGTCACCCAGCTGCTCTTTCCCTCGTCTTGCACAGTCACATGAGAGGCCAGTTGGAAGACCAGAGAGAAGAACTCACTGTGCTCAACAAACATCATACAGAAGCCAGGGATACTTTATTATACAGGGAGTTGGCGAAAGGACAAATTAACTTCTGTTAAAGAATTCTCATCAAACATTTCCGGTGTTTACTGACTGCTTGCCATGTGTCAGAGTCACTAAATAAGATGCAAATTCTACTGTGAAATTGAATCTTCATTAGGACTCAGAACAGGCCCAGCTTCAAAGATTCTGATTTGCACAGACTGAGTACTCCAATTTCCAGAAGTTCAAACACCTCCTTTCTTATCTAAATGGGAGTAAAGAAAAGAAGAAGAAAAAAAAAGGTTAAGATCAAGCCAAAATGCTCTTAGTAAATAAATCAACCATCTGGACTCCCTGGTATTTACACAGCTGTTATGGCGAGAATCAGAGAGGGCAAAAGTCCTAACCCTCATTTGACTGAGAGTTGAAATATTTATATAATTAAAGGAAGAGGTACTATATAAAATATCGCTTTCACTAAAATGCCCTTTTTTTGGTAGCCATTCAAAATAAAATGCCATGCAAATTTATTTATTTATTTTAAATGACTCTAATGTGTGCTTTCTGTAACCCAGATCATATACAATATTTCAATATAGTATTTTATTGCCTTAGTTAGGATAACTGCTGATAATGACATCAACACAATAAAAATAACATGGGTGACAAGATTTTTTTGGATACTATTTCTCATTATTATAGTTAGAAAACTAGTAGATTAGTCAGATTTAACACATAATAACTGAAGTCATCAAATATGGCCTCATGTACCTGACATCGAATTGATTAAACCAGTTTTTAAAAAACCTGTTAATTCAGGAGACAGAGTGCATGGCTCTGTGTGTGAGTGTGCATGTGTGTTTAGAGAACTCAGCAAACTGTCTTTTAACCTGAACTGATATCTGATATAACTCACTGATCAATTATAATCCAGTTTGGTCATTCTGGATATATAGCTTTCTGTGGTAAATGAATATATTCAGTATGTTTGGAGAAGTAATTCCAAGCATCTTTGATAGTTACTGCCATAATTTATTCCTGGTTGGTGACTGGCAACCTTTTTTTTCCCTAATAGCTTCTATGAAGCATCAGGATAGATTGAAAAATTAGCCCCATGATAACATGGTGGGTGGCAAAATCAATTTTTCACATTATGAGCATAATGGATTGCTTTCATAAATATATAATGAGCTAATGTTGTGTCCATAAAGGCATTTAATCATTCAATTCTAATCCACCGAGACACCAAAAAGTTTCCCTACCACACAAAAACAAAATATCTTTCTGAGCTAAGTAAGTGAGTTTTGGGGAATGTGGAGATGCTGGCAACGAGGCAAGTCTGCCCGTGCTCCCCGCACCCCAGCCAAAACTGCCACATAAAGATGAAAGGCAAAAATGAGTGTGTCCATAAAGAAAGGCACCAGAAAAGTGCTGAATCCTTCAGATCCTATACTGGACTCAACAGTCAAGTACAGATGTGGTCCCTAGAGGGGAGAGGCCATTGTCATTTAATGAGCAATGAAGCTGATTCCTGTAAAACATAAGGAAAGGATACAGTTAAGTGTAAAAGGATGAGGTGGCCTCCACAATTGTGTTACCTCAGAGTTAAAAGACAGATCACTTCAAAAGCTAGATTGTGCTGGCGCCCCATGTCAAAGACTTCTATTACTGTGTTTGAACTCAAGTTCAAATTGAAAAAAAAAATGATTAAAGGCAATTGCTGATTACACGGTACCTCGGGAATGTCCATCATTCTCCTCAACTTCTGATCTCTCCAGTTCCAGTCAAAAACCAGAAACTTTAAGGGGTTCAGATTAAGGCCACCTGAAAGAGAGAGGAAGAGAGTTCATGCAGTAAAGACCTTATGACATAAGCTTATTAAAATGATTTTTATTCTCCTGGTTGCTCTTTGCCTGATTTGCTGTCCTCTCCCCTGGGAACTAATGTCTGCACGGTAAGGCCTGCCCTTCCCTGATGGAAAACAAATGCGGCACTCAGAGTCTTGCTCTTCTTCTAATCTCATTACTGCTTCTGAGGAAAACAGAGAAGCCGCTCTTGCCAAGCTCCTCACATGCTCACGCGCTGGCCAAGGCTCCAGCTTTCGTGAAGCCCCGAGGTGCAGTCTCATTTCTGACAGGGATTTGATAGGCTGTATCCTGCAGTGGAGGGTTGTGGTCCTTCAGAGGAGTTGAGTCCATCGAGTCTGCAAGACTCTGAGGAGATGAGTGGGGAGAAGGATGAGGACAGAGCTGGGTGATTTGTTTTAGGCAGAAAAGGCAGTTAAGATGAATGGACTCTGTTCAAATTCAGCTGTCCTTTGATGAGGCTGGTAAATCACTTAAGGACTCCATTCCTTCTGTATTCCTTTCTATCTAGAAGACAATTTTGGAATGTGCAAGCTGCAGAGGACCTCAGGGATTGTCTGATTAATCCTCAGAGGTCTCGGAGTTGGGCACACAGTCAGTTCTTCCTCTGCTTCAAGCTGTCATCTGTCACACTTGGAAACAATCCCTGAAGGCTTCCTCTACCTAAAGCTCTTCCTGTCAGCTTTCCCCTGTGGCTATTAAATATTTTCCTCTCTGCCCCAAATACTTTTTTGGGCTTCATATAATTAAAATGTCTCTTATTTACAACTCTCTTCAAAATTAAAATAAAAATGGTACAGGCAACGGCTTGATAATCTGTTTTTCCTTAAAAGTAACTTAACTGCTGATGGGAGAGCAAACAGGTACAGCCTCTCTGGGATGAAACAGGGCATTATGTAATAAGAATTTTAGAATCTTACTATTTGATAAGATCATTTTCCTTTTGTGATATATCCCAGTAAAAACATCAGAAACATGAACATAGTCACTTGCAAAGATGACCACTGCAGTATTATTTATAATAGCAAAAAGTTAGAAACAACCCAAATATTCTACCATAATAGAATTACAAAAAAAAATATATAAAAATGTATAGAAAACAAAGACTGAAAGAAAATATATTCATTGTTAACAAACAAGAGATTATTTCAAAGTGACTTATTTTCTTCTCTGTACCTTTTCATATTTTTCAAAGGCACATATAGTCAGGCAATACCTCTTATTATTAAAACAACAATTCTGTCTGTAATTGTACGGATCCCAATGCCATGGTATATCTTTTGATGTCTGGAAACTCTTCTTACATATCAAACATATAAACACCTTGTTAAGTCACAAACAGCTACATAAAATGAGTTTGTGTCACTGGTGCCACTTTTGTTAGATTTTCTGTTTCTAGAGTGCTGGGACTATTCTCTTTAAACACTTTGTATATAGCTTAAACCCTGTGGTGAAAGAATATTAAACCATTCATCCAATCAGAATCAGAAGTAAAAGTTATTTTCATTAATAGTATAAAAAATCAATGGCTCCTTAAATGATTTTTTTTCACATGAAATAAGCCTTCACATTGAGTTCTCACAACTCTGTAGAAATCTAATTTCAATAGTCTGGATAGCCTCATTTTCTTTCTTCCTCTCTCTTTTAAGTCCAGAGAAGAGTGGTCCTGTTTCATGATGGTGTCTGGTGACACACAAGCAAATCTGGATTCCAGAAAGGAAAGAGGTGACTCTTTAGCTAAGAGCTGTAGGAGAGGGAGGGGCCAACCTGAGAGTCCATCCCTGGCCTCTGCTGATGCCCAGCCAATCTCTCCAAATCTTGTCTCACAGGACTATGGGTGCCTCTTCTTCTGTTCCTTAATTTTCTTCTTTTTTTCTTTTGAGACAGAATCTCACTTTGTCGCCCTGGGTAGAGTGTAGTGGTGTCATCATAGCTCACTGCAACCTCAAACTCCTACACTCAAGCAATCCTCCTGCCTCGGACTCCCAGAGTGCTAGGATTACAGGTGTGAGCCACCATGCCCAGCCCTGTTCCTTAACTTTCAATGCCTTCCTATGTCCCCAAGACAAAAATCCAAACTCCTCAGCTTACTGTTTGAGGTCCTCCCTCCACAATCTGCCTTTCTTTCCAATTGAATCACCTGCTATCACAGCCCACAAAGTCTCCAAGCAAGAAAGTTGGATTCTTTAGTAATAATAACTAGTATTTGTTGAGTGCTAAGAGTGTGACGCTCACTGTGCTGAGCTCTTTATTGTCATCTTATTTTCTTAACAGTCTTTGAGGTAGGTACCATTACTATCCCTATCATTCAGATGTAGAAACAGGCTTAGAAAGGTTAAATAACTTGCCAAGGCCACAAAGCTATTAAGTTGCTGGACCTGGGATTTGAATCTGGGGGTCTGAGTCCGCAACAGGTGCTCTCAGCCTCAACACTGTGTTGCCTACTCATTGACTCCTCTTGATGTACCACATGTCTCTGCCTTCTCTCTTCTCCCATTCATGGATGCTTTCCCTGACTCTCCTGGCCTATTTCAATCTTTCCATACTTCAAAGATCAAAGACCCTTCCCTGCAGATTCAGGCCACCATAACAATCTCTCTCTCACTGCAACCCCTGTAGCACTTCCTAGTGCTCATTTGGCTCTTGACATTTACTGCCTCACGTTGTGAATCTCAGTTCATGTACATTTAGCTCTTCGACTGGAGCAGGAGCTCCTGGAGGTGGAAAAGGCTCTGGAACCAGGATGTCCTGGATGGACAGACCTTGGGAGGGGCCACTTAACCCTCTGAGCTTCAGTTTTCTCTCAAGAAGTAAGAATGTTAAGCCTATAAGGATGCTGTAAATGAGAAAACATATGTAAGGTTGTCTAGCATAGCACTATGTACAAGTAGGAACTCAAAAATCTTTGTTTCCTTTCCTTGTCAGGGGCTGCCAAATTTGTCATTTCTTTGTATTTGCACAAAACTCTGCATATAGTCGGTGCAATTAAGCCCAGATGATTTTCATATAGAGAAAAACACCAGTCTTAGCTTTTGCTTGCTTCCTGGCAAATGACCGTCTCTATACTGAGTTACTGTAATATTGATGAATACATTACCTTTAGATATATAAAATAACCCAGGAATAGCTCCAGACAGTTATAAAAGAAAGTTCTATGACTACATTAAATAAGTAATTTTGGAATGAGTATTAAGAACATATTACTAAATCTGTCTGGTAGGTAGAACAGGTGATAAGATCACTGGCAGCAGGTTCTTAGGCTACTAGCTTTGAGAAAGTCAACAAACTATAAAAATCCACTGGTGGATGTTGTCTGGAATACTTTCTGGGTAAAACACTAAAAGAGAACTGCATTTGGGGAGAAATATTCCAGAATATCTGTATTACACCCATAGAAATGGCATTTTTGTTTCAATATGTTTTATGTATCAGCCCTCAACCAGAATGGGAGTCCTGGGGAACCAAGATTCCACTAAGTGAGAGGCAAATGGTCAACACATCCAGCTTTATATATTCCAGAGGCTGCAAATTGGTGGAATGAAGGCTGCATGCATCCACTAACCTGCTCGTAGCAATTGCAATTCGAATGTGTTCATGTGGCATATGTACTTCAGTTTGCCACAGTCCTTATCAGTCCCTACTGCATTATACTTGCTGCTTGGTTTCAGAGACTAAAGGCTGTTCCCAATTCCTGAATGAACACAGAGGTCTGGTTTCTCCATAGCCCAAATGCAGTTTTTTTTTTTTTTTTTTTTTTGAGACAGAGTCTCACTGTGTTGCCCGGGCTAGAGTGCCGTGGCGTCATCCTAGCTCACAGCAACCTCAAACTCCTGGGCTCAAGCAATCCTTCTGCCTCAGCCTCCCGAGTAGCTGGGACTACAGGCATGCGCCACCATGCCCGGCTAATTTTTTCTATATATTTTTAGTTGTCCAATTAATTTATTTCTAATTTTAGTAGAGACGGGGTCTCGCTCTTGCTCAGGTTGGTCTCGAACTCCTGAAGCTCAAACAATCCACCTGCCTCGGCCTCCCAGAGTGCTAGGATTACAGGCGTGAGCCACCGCGCCCGGCCCCAAATGCAGTTTTTGAGACTCATATGGGGGTGAGGCAAACTCCCAGCTCTGGGTAAGAGTACCACTGCCTTCTTTTCGTACCTTGTTTAATAAGTTCTTTAATTCTCCCTGGAGTTCCTACACCCAGGTGCACCACACGCTTCTCCAGCAATTTTACCTGCTCCTGGACCTATTCCAAGATGGAAGGAAGAAAGAAAAGAGTCGTTAAGAAAGTGCAATCATAGGCCAATTTAGAGCATTTTATTTCAAAGCTAAGAAAGTTAAAAGCAAATGGAGCTACTCTCGTTTAGGGTCAACTTCCAGGGCAAAGAAGAACATCTCCCAGGAAAATCAGTAAACCCTCAAAGAATCCAGGGGTCAAACCTCAGCTTCTATATAGGAATGGAGCATGGCGGAGTGACTACTGTTGGAGGGGCGGGGGTGGGGGTAGGTATGTGGAGGTGCAAAATTCAAAGAAAACCAGAATGGTTAAGTATGTCATATAAGGAAGCACCAAGAAAACACTTTCTAAGGAGACTAGGAGAAGAGGTTGAAGGGAAAAGACTGAGGTCTGGGAGTAGCCCTTAGCGATCACTTATATCTCCCATTAGGAACCATGGGCCCTTGCTTACCTTTATGTGTTTTGCAAATAATTTCATAACTTTGCTGTCTCCTCTGAATGCTGTCATTGACCTAATGAAAAGAAACAGATTAACACTTAAGGAAACTCACTCATTCTGGGCCATATTGACTACTTAAGTATTATGTCTAGCTTTATTCAAAGAATGTATGCAGATGGATGTGTATATATGTGATATGTATGTGCACATACACACATACACAAAAAGGTTCTGAGATTTTCAGGTTAGCCTTGCAATGAAAGTGGGGTGGCCTTTTATTCAGGCACATATCTGGGCTGGCTTCTGCCTCTCATATACAATGTTAACCATACTTAGGCTTCCTTCATCATGGAAACACATGGATCTGCCCTTCACTTGTAATACACAATTCCTGCATGTCAGGTTCCTGGCAAAGAATTTCTCTTCCACCTCTGCAGTGTAGTTCTCATACAAAATTTAGTTGCAAGAGATATCTTAGAGCGATGATGTCAGCCTGTGCTCTCTGAAGCCCAAGGGCATCTACAAAGGTCTGTGGCTGCTGTGAGGGGAAGCGGGGGTTGAGCGCACAGGAGGAAGACGGAAGGCTTATATCCTTCTATCAGAGCAGTGCTACTTTTATCTACTTTGTACACTGAGCTTCTCCGTAAAATTTTATATGTGGAAATGCTTTTGCCATAAAGAAAGAAAAGAAGGAAGGAAGGGAGGGAGGGAGGAAGCAAGGAAGGAAGGAAGGAAAAAAAAAGAAAGGAAACCAGTGACGCAAAGGACTGGCTGAGCTAGAGCTGCGAGAGCAGGTGGGTGTTATAAATGAGTGAGGCGCTGTGGGAGGCAGGTGTGAGGGCACTGGAGAGCTCGTGCCCTGTAAAGTGTGTGCCGTTGTAGAGGGGTCGAGTGGTGCTCAGCTCAGCCAGTTATTATGATGTGAGATCATGGGCCCAGTGTTACAAGACCTGATTTTTAGAGAAGCCAGAAATCTGGATTTTTATATGTGCAATCTGATTTTATATATGGGCAATGCATTCAAAATTTTTTTAGATACAAATACTTGCGGGGTAAACTCAGCTCTTGGACAGTTGATTTATAAGCTCTAGCCTACATGTAGGACAGGCAGTCCATTTAGTTTCTAGGTATTCAACGATCTGGATCTATCTACATCAATCCAGACTGCCAGCTCTGAGGGTCAAGACCATGCTGGCTGTTGCCTTACACACCTGCCTTTCCTACCTCTGCTTTGGCAGCAGGTCCTCAGCCTGCTCTATAAACAGCCACGTCGCATCTTCCGTGCAGTGTTTTTCTTGCAGAGATGATACTAAGGGTGCTGCAACTATGTCCCAGTGGGAAAAGCTATATTTCTTAGGGAACTTTTTTTTTTTTTTTTTTTAAATCCGGAGAATGTCATGAATCTAGCAACTGATGTCTCCCAACTTATCCTGGCTGCTGGAAAGTGCAGGCCCATGGTCGGGGCCACCTCTGCAACTAAGTAGAGCTTTACAGAAGTGATCTTGAGCATCAGGGTGGCTTCACCTGATTTTGTGGTCTTTATTTTTTTCTTTGCTTCCATTTTCACTACCTGTTTTTATTTGCTGTGTGTATTTCTATATATGACCTAAAATTTTGTTTTGAGAAAATGTGGGTATTAATGAATGATCTTTTAACTGATATTTGGGGACAGAACTAACAAGGAAATACTACTTTCCTTCACATATCATTATTATATTTTGAGAAATATTATTGACCAGTAGGAACATGTGAGTTTGCAAAATAGTAAATCATGGTATATAAGTTTTGTTGCATTCAAGTTTTTACTTACACATAACCTTTCTCCATGGCAAGGTTAACTAGGAAGACAGTTTAAAAACTCGTGGCTCTCAAGAGAACAGATGTTCTTACAAAAGTTAGAATTATTAAATATTAATCTTTATGAATAGGGCTTGTTCTGCCTGCTCAGAAATCACTTTTTGCAAATCACCTAACCTTGAAATGGATCATAATATTATCGGGGACACAGAAAAATGCTGAGAATTGGTAAATGGAGTGTGACAACACAGTGCTTTTATGCCCCTCGGAAAGGAATTTATGTATAGTAGAAACTCAAATCAATTTGACAACTTGAATTTAAGAGGCTACCTCCAGGCCAACCTCTTTGGCATCAGTGTTTGAACCTGAAATGAGTTCTGTGGTAGTTTTAAAAGCACTGAAAAGTCAATGTGAACTCCTGCGATTTTAGGACCAGCCAGTATAGATGCCAAGAAGCAGCTGGAGTCTTGGAGATCAATTATGTATAGAGGAGAAAGAGTTGAGGGAAACACTTCGTTTTACTGGGAAGGCATGTGACACAATTTAATGTGTGTACTTAGGTGGGGAAAGGAGGGCTTGAAAGACAAAGTTTAACAATCATTTTTTCCTAAATTCGTGATTAGATTAGTTCACTGAGAAAAAAAGATGCTAAATAACTACTCAATGTCTACATTTGCACATTAGTCTGTTTGACCGGGTTCATTTTTCTTCATGACTTGGATTTTCCTTTGTTTTGTCTCCTGTCAAAGCCTGGCCCTGAGCCTGGCCCCCAGAGAGAGCTGTTCCCAGTGAGTCCCACTTACTCGATGGCTCTTTACTGAAAGCTGAATGTTACCACAGACCTAGTCGAAGCCTTTTTGTTTATTCTACAAAAACTACAGTAAATAAAAAGGTATGTGAAAGTACTTAGTAAAACACTGACAAATTATCTTTAAAACATAATTTTTACATTTAAATTTTGGTCCATTTGGAATTTATGTTGGTATAAGAAGTAAGATATGAATCCAACTTTATTTTTCCAGATGGCTACTCAGTTGTTCCAACAGCATTTATTAAATAACACATCTTTCCCTACTGATTTCTGATTTGTCACCTTAGGCATATGCTACATTTTCATATGCATTTGGGTCTATTTCTGAACTTTCAATTTTGTTCCACTAATCTGATTTGTCATGCATGTGCCAGTTCCATACTGTTTTAATTACTGAGACTTCTCTTTATATATATATATACATATATATATGTGTGTGTGTGTATATATAAAAGGTCTGTCCGGAAAATATCCAGCCACGTAATATATATTTTATTAACAATGGCTGGATACTTTCTGGACAGACCTTGTATATATATTTGTAATCTGTAGGGATAGAATCCTCTCAGTATTCTTTTTCGGAATTTCCCCACCTATTTTTAGTTGTGTATTTTCCCATATGAATTTAGAATTAGTTTATCCAGTTTAAAACACAATTTTTTTGCAATTTTATTAGGAATCTGTGAAATTTGTAGATGGTGCTAAGGAAAACAGACATCTTTACAACATTGAGTCTACCTATTCAAGAATACAGTATACCTTTTTTTTTTGTTGTTCAAGATCGTCCATATCCCTTATGTGATGTTTTCTGTACATAGATTTTGGTTAAGTTTATTCCTTGTTATTCTGTCTTTTCTTGTTACTATTTTAAAAGTCAGATCTTTTCTTCCATTTTCTTCTTCTAACTGGTTGTTGCTGGGATGATCTCCCTGCTTTTACCTTTGCCTTCCACCATGTGTGTTTTCTACACAGCAGCCAAAGTGATCCTTTACAGTGATGATATGGATCATGTGACTCCTCAAAATCCTCCAGTGGCATCCTATCTCAGAGTCTTTTGTACTTCCTGTCCCTTGTACCTGGCATCCTCTTCTCCCAGATAGCTGCTTGGCTCTCTCCTTCACTTTGTTTGAGTCTCTGCTCAAATGTCATCTCCATAGAGAAGCTTTCTGTCACTACCCTTTTTAAAGTAGTCCCCGTCTACTTGTATCCCTTTGTTATGCTTTATTTTATCTTTAAATAACTTATCATTACACCTGATATTATACTGTATCTTTTTTGTTTATTATCTGTCTCGCCAACTGCAACATAAATTCCATGAAGGCAGAAACTATTTTGTTCATTGCTGTATCTCCAGCACACAGAACATATTAGCTTGGCACATTATCAATTACTCAGAGCACATTTACGAAATAGAATAGGTGGAGCTTCTAACCTAATGAGCTCCAGGGCTCGGATGGCAGAGCTGCAGATGACCAGCATCAGGACCGATTTCTTCTCGCTGTGGTTTTTCCGAAGTTTTACCCACTTAGGACAGACTTGAAAAAAGACCACAAAAAATTATTCTAAATATAGCAAAATTGGCTCCCTAAAGTTGAATATTCCCCAATGAATTCTTTGTTAGTGTCTAAACATAATAAAATGTAATGAGCACTGTTCATTATAATTAATTATAATTCTATTTTCTGGTTATTGTAGATATTAGATTCAAAGAAAATATCATTCATTTACAACACAAAACACATAATATGCCAAGTACCTAAATGTGACTAGTTTTAGAACTAAGTAAAACAGTTTGGAATAATACATTTTTAATATTTTATGTTTCATGCTTAAAGATAATTGACTAAATAGGAAAAGAATTCTTGTTGAATAATGTTAAATTTTACAGGGACACTCAACATAAGATATAAAATAGAACATTTAAATAATAGTAAACATTTATTAAACATTGACACTATACTAAGCCCTTCATATACATTTTATTTTCTAGTTCTCATAAGATAGTGAAGTCGATTCTATTATTATCTAGATTTACATTTGCTGAACTGGATGCTGAGAAAGGTTTATGAACTCAAGTTGAGTGTCATCAGAATTGCTTACAGTTTGAAGGAAGAATGGTAAATCTCTACATCTAACTTTTTCGTTGCTGGCCACAAATAATGACCACTTGATATGAATAATCTAGTTATCCCTGGCTACACATAATACATATTGAAGAGATCAAACTAGATTGTCTTCACAGTAGTCATGATCTGAATTTTTATTTTTTTGAGATAGGGTCTCACTGGAGTGCAGTGGCATCATCATGGCCCACTGCAACCTAGGCTCCTAGGTTCAAGTGATCCTCCCACTGCATCCTCTGGAGTAGCTAGGACTGCAGGTGTGCAACACCACACTTGGCTAATTTTTCGTAGAGACAGGGTCTTACTATGTTGCTAAGCCTGGTCTTGAACTCCTGGCCTCAAGTGATCTTCCAGCCTCAGCCTCCCAAGTGCTAGGATTATAGGTGTGAGCCACCGTGCCTGGCCATGATCTGAGTTCTGAACATGTGAACACAATTCCAGAATCTCACAGCTGGAATAGAGATCATATAGCTCCTCTTCCCTATCTTTCGGATAACAAACTTGGGTCCAGGAGAGTACTCACTGACTTGTCCCAGGTCAAGTAGCAAATCAATAGGGGATCTGGGACTAGAACCCTATTCTCTGGAGTCCTTAGACCAATATTTCTAATGTAACATAAAACAAAAATGAGACCAACACCCAAATTCTCAAAGCCGAAGTAAAACAAGAATAAATATAAATAGATTAAAATCAGAGTTTACTTACTTTCTTTTAGGTATGATGAAAGACTGTGAGTCAAATCATTGGCTTTGAGGAAACAGGAGTCTAGAAATATGAGAAACATGGTTTGTAGAGAATTTTACAAACACACACACAATCAAAATAGATGAAACGTGAATGATGTATTCTAGAATAGACTGTAAAACATTAGAGAATTGGGGTTTCATTATATTCAAGTGTTATCTAGTATTTAAAATAACACCAGCACCAACAATAACTTTTTTGAGGGGACAGGTTCTCACTCTGCAGCCCGGCCAGAGAGCAATGGCATCATCATATCTCAACTGCAACCTCCAACTCCTGGACTCAAGTGATCTCTGCTTCAGCTTCCCAAGTACCTAGGACTACAGGCGTGCATTACCATGCCCTGCTATTTTTAGAAAAATTTTTGTAAAGATGGGTGTCTCACTATGTTCCCCAGACTGGTCTCAAACTCCTGGCTTCAAGTGATCCTCCCACCTCAGCCTCCCCAAGTGCTGGGATTACAGGCATGTGCCACTGTGTTGGCTAACAAGTAAAATTTTAACCCTTCATGGAGCTGCCCATAGGTTATTAGAGCAGTGGAACAGAAACTTGTTATATCACTTCAGACTAAGGAGGCACATTTATTTTTCAAATCCATAAACAGGCACTACATAAAGGCAAAATGAAGTGGCTAACAAATCTATGTCGAGATGCTCAAACCTATTAGTCATCAGAGAAGAGCAAATTAATACAATGATGAGATAGCACTTCACACACTCATTGGAATGGCAAATGTTAGAAAGATGCATAATTGCTAAGTGTTGTCGAGAATGTGGGGTGACGGCAACTCTTGTGAACTGTAAGTGGAAGTATAAACTCGTATATCTATTCTGGAAAGTAGTAATATTAAGATATATAACCCTATAACCCCAATATTTCATTTCTGTATAAATAATGGAAAGAAATTCTTGTGTGGTCTATAAAGGCACACACAAAAGGATATTCATTCTGGTATTATCTGTGATACTAGAGTGCTTAAAGCAACCTAGATGTCCGTATCTGGGAAAATGGATGAAATATGTGGTAGATGAAAATACTGGAATATAATGTAGCATTAACAGAAGCAATGAGCTAGATATGCATAAAGCCATAGAGGCTTATCTTGAAAAAGTGTCAAGTGAAGAAAGAAACAATAAGAGGATCAGCACAAAGTCATCTAGATAAATTTTAATATGTACCTACATACACAACATGACACATTTTACAAGAATTACATAAAAATACATGCATATTTAAAAATGTACATCAACACATTAGAGCAAATGCCTATAAGGAAAGGAAAATAGAGTGTGTATTGGGGAAAAATGGGAATAATGCATCAAAATACAACACAACACAATAAAAGACAACTTAACACATTAAAGTAAAACAGGGCCTTGCCCGACCAATGATGATCATGGTCTAGCAATTACGTAGTATTAACTCTGTACCTGAGACGAATAACAAAGTAACATCATGGTTATCATTCTAATTCTTTCTATAAGAAAAAGTTTGTCTATAAACCCAGTAGAGTGTTAGGGAGTAAACTATTACTAAATGAAATGTATATTGTGACCCAGCACATATAACTCACATCATGTGAGTAACTAACTTCAAAGCTGTTGCCTCCTTTACCGTTGTGGAGCCTTTTATGGTCTTTAAAACTGTAATTTCCCAAGCTTGGATATGATCAGACTCACCTGGAAAGCTTTACAAAAGACACAGATTCCTGGACTCCCTGTTGCATAGTGAGTCAGAATCCCTTGGAGGGCCTGGGAATCTCCTTTGAGAGGGTCCTGGTGCTTTGGCTGCAGCTAGCCTACACACATTTAGGAATCGCTGATCTAAACTGCACTCCAGCTCTCAGGAGACGGCAGAGAAGTTAATTAGCTCCAGGTGACTCCAGCCTCAAACCCTAATTAAGTGCCCATGTGTATGACATTAACAATGTACAGTGTACAATATTAATTGAAAAGACATGTTCCTGTCCTACAGACATAAACAACTTCAAATCAAAACCAAGTTAGCGACTTGACAAACTAAATAGGAACAATATTTTATTATTTATATCTACCTTATGTTTATCCCCTTCTTGAGCCTGTCCCAAATAACCGATGCTATCTCCCTCCTCTCACCTAGCATAGACTTCCCTCTGTCCTTGGTCTCATTAGTGTAGGGACCAGGGCCTTTTTTCCTAAACCTTCCTATGATGCCTCGGTTTACTGTGTCTCAGAATGGCCTAATTTCTTAAATGAAAATGAGAACCTGTTCTTTCTGGCTATAACATTATTTCTAACATAATTTCCTTCTTCTCTAAACCAACCCTTGTCCATGCATTCTTGCCTAACTGTACTGAACTCTAATAAAACAATAATGTAATGGAAATTCACTATGGAACTCATATGACTCCTTAAAGGTTTTTTTCTGACCTTTAACTCTAGAATTCTAGAGAGAATCAAGGTTTGTGATGTTTCATGAAGTTATAGCAGCCCCATTAACTCATAAATCCTTTCTAAGTTCAAGTTATGCTCTAACAAAGAACTAAAAGGGAAAACTGACCATTGAGTCACAGGAAAAACCAAACTTCAGTTAAAGTTTAAAAAGTGGTTTTGTTATAACACTTGGTTCCTGTGATAGAGCAGTCAGGACGTAGCTTTCACACCAGAGGCACCAGTGTGCTGAGAAGAGTGGTTTTCAATTGCTGTGGAGCCGTCTGGGCTCACTAAGTCTAAAACTCCAGATTTTGCTCATGTGCAAACACACTCCTTCAATTCCCTAGAGGGCAATCTTCTTGGAGAAGAAACAGACAGGGGCACTCATGTCTCCAAACCCAATGTGCGTGTGTAAAAAAAGCATATCACAAAAGAATTATAAAAATCCAGGGAACAGACTATTTTTCAGCTTCTCAAGCTTCTAGAAAGCATAAAATTGTAATGGAAAAAGGAAATCAAGCTACCCTTGACTTTTCCCAAAAGCAGTATTAGATATCTCTTGTAGTCTATAAATAGTGCATCTGAAGTAGTGGCACCCAAACTTTTATGGTTTGATTTTATGACAACATCTATTTTCTCCCATCCCCACCTAAAAGAGTTATACAGCATGCATTGTAATTTGATTAATTAAAATTAATTATTATAATTTTGCAGTATCTTTTATCTTAATTATAAATATACTAAGGCAGCAAATCTCAGCTCCAGTAAGCTTAAGAATCACCTGAGGTGAGGTGATTCTAGCAAGGTTGGCCTTGCTAGAAATGCAGAATTTTGTTCCTACCTTTAGATAGTTTGCTTGAA